GAGAGAGAGAGAGAGAGAGAGAGAGAGAGAGAGAGAGAGAGAGAGAGAGATCTATTATAATTAAAAATTTGTTGTATATTATAAAATATGTTTTTACACATTATGCGAAAACGCGAAAAGAAAACATACGGTTTATGGTATGTAAACTATTAAAAGTACATATTAAGTATCATTTATATTGTCATCTAGATTTATACGTCTAAAAAAGTAAATATTGAATAATCTACATAGTAATAATGTAATATTTGATATATTAACTATATACTATTTAATATTTCTATTTACGTTAATTGTATTATAGTTACTATTTACATAAATAAATAAAATGATAATAGTACATGTGGGTATTATACTGTTCTCGGGTAAATACCAGATATATAAATTAATAAATTAAATTAAAAATTAATTATCATTTATAAAAAACATATTTAATAATGATAATCTGTTTAAAAAGTGTGTGGCGCTCTTAGCGAAATGAGCGAGCTGGAATTTGACAATTTGATACGTCCGGTAATTGGCTATGGTGACATGGATTACCCGACGTATCACAAACGCGAACAATTAGAGGCATATTGTAAACAGTTAAGTAACACAATAATATTAATGATTGTTAAATTATTTTTACAAACAGAGCATGGACAAAGTTGTGATTAAGATTTTAATAATTGTGTGATTATAAACTAGGGCGCACAACAATTTTTTTGGAAATGATGGCCTAAGTATACTGCTTTATATGTTTGGCCAAAGTCCACTTGCTGTCAAATTTATCAAGGATGGTTATAGAAATGGCGCCCCATATAACGAAACGTGCTATAGAATAACGAAAGGGACACTAAATGATTGGTTACCCTATTATAAAGAAATACATGATATGAATGCAAACATGAAACCGATCAGAGATGGCTTTGAACGGGCAATGGTAGCCGCGGCCCAACCAAATACTAAGTACACCGTCGACGACGTCATGTGGTATTATAATAAATATTATATAATCTATAATAATATTAATTATCTAAAGATAATATTAATAATTCGTGTATTTTTGAGCATTTTTATCGTTTTAGTTTTATTAAGAAATGGTGTGATTTGACTATAAATACAGTAAAGAATGACACTTCTCGGCAAATAGTACGGCAACAACTTAATGGTTACTCGAATTATGCAATAGTTAACAGTTTCAACCGCGGCCTCGTATGCGACTGGTCTAACATACCGGCCCCTAACGGATCGCATGTCAAATCACCGACTCTTCTCACAGCTAAAGCTTTGGCCAATTTAGACAATAAAAACAAAGTCATCCCGGGTAAATTTGGAAATTTTAATTTACATTTCTAATCATTTAAAGCAGTAAATAATACCTCGTATAAAAACATTGATTTGATAATTATAAATATAAGGTAACTTACAGTTTCAATTTAATTTTGATTTAGTTAGATTATGTTGGATTGCACTAGGTTATGGGTGAGATGGTAGTAAGTTAGTAATAATAACAAATATAGAACATAAAAATTAGTGCAATTATTGCAATATTTTATAACTCCAAATGGTTCATGTCGAATTAATGTTTAAATAATAATTTTAATAATTATAATAGTACTGTATTTGTAACTATTTATCTCGCTTTAGGCACAATGACCGAGGAAAAATTGGACAAAGTGTGTGCCAGCATGGTCGGTTTCGGTGACCCGGAGTATCCACAGGTTTATAAACGTGAACACTTGGAGAACTTCTGTAAACAGTTATGAAATATTTATCATGTTTAACATTGACATAAATAATAAGTTTCATATTTTTAAAACAAGTTAATTAGCAAATTACCATAATTGTTTATGTTTATTATTTATTCACTATAGAATTCACAAAGATTGGTGGCAACTACATTATAACCCAACAATTAATAAATTGTATGGACACAGTCCGAGTGCTTTAAAATTGATCAAGTTTGGAGAGCAAACATTGTTTTCGTATTCAGAAACATGCGATCAAATCAGGAGCGGAACACTGAAAGAATATTTACCTTTTTATAAAGAAATACATGATAAAAATGCAGACATGAAACCAATCAGAGCTGGCTTTATGCGGGCAATGGTAGCCGCGGCCCAACCAAATACAAAGTACACTATTGATGATATCATGTGGTATTAGTTTAAATATTATCCATTATAATAGAACCAAAATACAATTTTACAATAACAATTACTTACCTTTTGGTTTTACATCTAGTTTTATCAACACATGGGTTCATAAGACTGTAAAAACAGTGAATAGTACCGCTGCTCAACATATTATTGAAAAACAATTGCATTATTATAGTTCTTACGCTCAAAAACAATTGATAAGTTTTCATAAAGTGCCGGTTTGCGACTGGTCTAACATACCCGCGCCCATCGGACCCCAACCCCGGACAATAACTATCCTCATTATGAAAGCGTTAGTCAATTGGGATAATAAAAACAAAGGCTAATTTATAATAATGATTATAACACTGTAATATAGTTATTTAATTGTAAATTAAGCCAAAAATAAAATTCATTTTGTTTTTAAATTCAGCAAATGATTTATATAAACATAAATATTTAAGAATTACCATGTGCCACAAATTGGCAAGTTCATTTTTGTCAATCATTTTTATCTGACTTGTGAGAAACTAACAATTAACAAATAACAACTAAACTTGTAAATATTAATTATAAATTTTATATAATTTTGTGCTACACATGTATTCATTATTCAGTATAATATAAGGTATCTTAATTTTATAACGATTTATTTTTAAAACGGATACATCACTGAAAGACCTAACGAATAAATTTTATGCAATTGACCATCCAGTATTTTCTTTGTAAACATGATGGGCAGTTTTAAAAATTGTTTAATTCCCAATTTGTTTGCGATTTCCATTGATTTGTGATTTGAATCCCAACACGAATAGTATATCTCTTTGGTCTCCCAATTGTGTATCCGTTGTAAACAATTCCTGATTAATAATTCAGCGATTTGTTGATTATCGGCATAAAGTGGGGCAATGAGTGGATAACCAGAAACAGTTTCCGATACGACACAATAGCCCATCACTTGATTGTTATCATTAATGGCCACAGAATTTATATTATCAAACGTCCCGTTGAGTGCCCGAAGCGCTGCACTCCTGTCGACTCCATCGCAGACCTGTTTGTCGTATTCAATCACATCCGCGATATTCTTATCATTCATGTCAACCAAACATATGCCCGAAATACTAGCCGTCAAAGCGTTGACCACAGGTTTGCCTTTCATAAGGAGTCGTTTTCTTTGCGGAATAGCTTTGAAATTGTGATGATTTTTGTAAATCTCTTGCATTTTTACATTCGCCGCAAAGAGTGAGGCATTTCTATCGCCCATATGTTCAATGCCTTTCGCCCAAAGAGCTGTTCCAATGCCTAATCCCTGACAATCCTCTCTCACGGCATACATGCATACAAATGATAGCTCTGGCGATAGATTAACACAACCGCACACTCCCAGCAATTTGCCTTTATTAAAGTTAGTAAATATAAATTAAATTAATAATTAATACGCATTCAAACCTGTTGCATTTTCCTGAGCGACAAATACCCCGTTTGGGTCATTTATAAGCATCATTTCATTGGAGTATTTATAGATATCCCACTCAAGCGCTGACCATAACTCTCGTACTTCTTCGCTGTCCGACAATTGCATTGTCCGTATAGTATATGAAGGCATTGTTTTCTCTGACATTATTTTCAATACTTATAAATTATAAGTTATAATACAATTTCACAACTATTTATATTAACTTTCAATTATGAAATGTTTTACAGTATTACGTTTGATTTAATAAATGTTTTTAGTTGTATTATTAGAGCATAATGTATGTTAGTTTACAAATTTAGATTATGCTCAATCAGCTATTTTAAATCAAGGTTAATTTTGCAATATTTTCCGGGTAGATAAGACACAAACTTTTAATCAATTAAATTATTTATTTTAAGATTATATTAAAAATTATAAAATTGCAAATATTATTTTATAAATTATAATTTTTAATTGGATTAATTAATGTGCAACAAAATAAGTTTAAGAATTTTATTTAATTCATAACACAAATACAATACATTGGACTATTATTACAATATATTTAATATTACGCTAATTAAATAAAGTTGCAATTTAATCATAATAATAAATAATGTTCTTATTAATAACCATGTAACTCATAGTAAATATTACAAATAATTTATTCATAAGAAATATAATTAAATTCAAAATAGCAATTAATTTATTAAGTTTAAGCTTATTAAATTTAATTTACTAAAAATTTTAAGTTGCTTTTAAGCATCATCGTAAATTAATTTAATAAAACAGTAAAGGTATTAAGAATAAATAATTTTATTTCATTTTATTTAATAACAAAATTAATTATACATATTTTTAACTCAATTAATTAAAAATATGGTATAAAATACTTATCCCAAGTTTTAAATATAACCATGCCCACTACATAATTACCATAATAAACATATTTATTAAATAAAATTAATGTTTGAAGGTTTTTGATGAGTAAAAACTTTAATAAAATAATATTTGTTAACAATTACTCAACCAATAGCTTAAAACAATTACGAAACAAAAAAATAAAATTTTATAATTTAATAATAATTATTAGAAACATAACTAAAAAGTGATCTCATGTTTAAAACATTTATCGAGAGCCATTTGAAGCATCCAAATGAAATATAATAAATGAATATAAAATTAATCGCACTATTATCCAACTATTAATATTACCATAATGATATATTTTATCATCACTACACTATGCTGTCTATACGGTGTCCACTCCCGGAGCGATAAGTTAATCATAGACAGCATAGATATACCGGACGGCGTTGTGGTGGGCGATAACGTAGCATTATCATGCAACTTTAACTCTAATAATGTGTCTGCAATATACTCGCTTAAATGGTATAAAGATCAACAGGAATTTTACCGTTATGTGCCCAGAGATGTGCCACCAAAACTGCATTTCACCATGCTCGGAGTGAATGTGGACACCGCCCACTCGGATCTCCATAGAGTAGTGTTAAATAATGTCTCGTTGAGATCAATTGGTGACTACCGGTGCGAAGTGTCGACCGATGGGCCAGACTTTACCACTACTACTATGAATGAAAAGCTGTCGGTGTTTTCGCTGCCAGAGTCCGGGCCCCAGATATCGGGCCTAAAAGCGCGCTACCCATTGAACAGTACTGTTAGGCTAACGTGTACTGTGGCCGAGAGTTATCCGGGCATCTATGGTAATCTAACCTGGCACATTAATGATCAACTGGCACTCAATGAAACCGTGGTGAATAATGAATTCCCAACCAGTTCTGACCGATACACAACCACCAGCATGATCAGTTTTAAAGTGGACAAACACCATTTCCAGTCCGGAGAGCTTAAGGTTAAATGTATGGCCACCATCCCAGCCATGTACAGGGCAACTACTGAGATCACAATATTTAACCCCGAGCATAAAGACATTGGTGATAATGGTAATTTTGACAATATTTAGCACATAAATACATTATTTTGTTTTATTAATAATGATATTTTTATTGATAGAGAGTAAAGGAGGTGCATGGTCGCCCAAACCCATGGACGTCTATATTTTGTTTTATGCTATATTATTTTCATGTTATTTATTTTAGCATTTTCACTATTTAACTTGTTAATAATTTAATGCCCGTTACTAAAAAACTAATATAATAAATATAATGTCATTTATTGTACAAAATACATTTATAATAAATTAATTAAATTTTGAAGGTTTTTGATGGCAAGTAAATACTTTGAAAACAAACATAATTCCTGTTATTAAAACTAAAATATCTAATGTTTAAAACATTTATAAAATAAAAAGTAACTTTTCTCCTATTTATTATTAAATATTTTCTTACCATAATATTCAACGATATAATGTGTGCTTATTTTGGAGACCATATCTCATAATAATTGTTAACAAATTAATCTTGTAGTGGGGGATAATGTAAAACTAACATGCAACTTTAAACAGGATAATGTATCTGATAGTATTCTACCTCAAATTGTATTAAAATTGTGACAAATTTTATCTTTGTTATAAGACATTGAATCTATTATTTAAAGTTACAATACTATTGAATCAGTTTATTGAGTAATCTATGCAAAATTAAATGTTAAAATCACTTTAAATAATTTATTAAGTTTCAAGTTTTAAACATGTTTTTAAAACGTGATAAAATTTTTATTTACTAAAAAAGTTGTTTGCCCCCGTGTGTTTAATAATCAGTACATGTTCAGAGCATTTAAGTATTATTTGTGGAAAATACATACTATTTGAAATTTTTTTAAACAAATAATAACCTTGATTCTGTGTCTCGTTAAATAATAATAATCATTATATTTTGATCAAATGTACTCACATTTTGTTCAGAGATTCACTATAAATAAACTAACCACTTTTGTTAAAAAGTTATAAATAAGTTATCATTAGTATAATTATTGGAAACTAATTTAAATTGTTATAAATAGATTTTTAATAATAATACAAACAAAATGTCAAACAAAACAATCCCATCATATATTGTGCGGACAATGCAATTGTCTGACAGCCAAGAAGTGCGACAGATGTGGACATCGCTTGATTTGGATGTCTATAAATACGCCAATGAAATGCTACTCTTAACTGATCCCAAAGGATCACTCGTTGCCGAAGACATCACTACAGGTTGTGTTTAAAACTAATTATACTTACAATAAACAGATATTTAATAATCACTTTTACAACCAATATATGAATTACAGGTAATGTGTTGGGAGTGTGTAGTGGTGTTAATCTGTCGCCAGAGCTCTCATATGTAGTGATATATGCGGTGAGAGACGAGTGGCAGGAGAGGGGCATCGGAACCGCTCTTTGGGATAAAGCCGTTGAACATATGGGCGACAGAAATATCTCATTGTTTGCGTCAAATGATAAAATTGTTGACGTATTTAAAAATAAGCTAAATTTTAATGCTGTTCACCAACGGAGGCGACACGTTATGAAAGGCATACCTATTATAACAGATCTGATCAATAAAATTGATGGCATAACTTTGGTTGACATGAATGATAACAATATCGCAGATGTGATTGAATACGACAAACAGGTCTGCGATGGACTCGACAGGAGTGCACAGCTCAGGGCACTCAACGGCTCATTCAAAAGCATAAGTCTTGTGGCCGTTAATGATAGCAATCAAGTGATGGGCTATTGTTTCCTATCAAAGACCGTTTGTGGCAATACAATCGTTGCCCCACTTTATGCCGATAATCAACAAATCGCTGAATTGTTACTTAAAAAATGTTTACAACGGATACCAAATTGTAATGAGATTTACTATTCGTGTTGGGATTTAAATGAAAAATCAAAGGGAAAAACAATTGCAAACAAATTGGGATTAGAAGTAGTGAGAGAAATGCACATGATGGCCACGAAGAAAATGAATGATATTCAATTGGATAAAATCTATGCCCTGGGCCTTTCAGTAATTTACCCATATTAAGTTCACGTGTTTGTTTGAATTATTTAATGTCTTAGACTTAGTTTTTATATCTTTTTATATCTGTTTTTTATGTCAAGCTATAACATACAGATAGCATAAATAAATGGGCAAAAATTTTATGTATTTTGATCGTGATATTATAAATTATTTAATAAAATGCTGACACATTTATAAATATACATTTACATTATTTTGTTTTTATTGATAATAAACTAGTTGTTAGGGACTAATTTTAATACATGTACAGTATATGCAAATTGATTGTATTTATTCGCAGACATTCATTAAAATTTGGCCATGATTTTCATATCTCTCAAAAAATCTTAAATAATTCAAATAAGTATATTATAAATAAAATTGTTATATAATACAGTATAATGTACTGTAAACATGTCGTCGATAATTGTTGTTTAATTAAATAATACAATTATTATTAAATATCAAATTTTATTTATTAAAATAATACATAATTTGTTAAACACAATATTTAATATTTTTAAAAAATAATTATCATAATCAGGCTAGTAGTTTTATTTTTATGACTTGCTAGATGACTTTTTGTTCCGAGATAAACAAATACTCTTTGTCAATTACAGGTAAATTATTTGGAATGTGCGGTTGATATAGTATATTATTATTGAAAATATTCAATTATAATAGCTATTAATATTATGTAATATGTAAAATTATAGATAAAATTACAATAAAGTTAAATAACAATCGTATCATGCTATATTACTATTTACTCACATTAGCTAATAATGTATTTTGTAAATTCATTAGAATTTATCAATCTGAAATACATTAATTATTTAAAAAAAATTATTTTCAGAATTCATGATTGTTCTATGTATTTATTCTAATACTTATTTATTTATTGTATGGATTATATGTACAGTATATGTACAGGTATTTTAATTACAAAATGGTATACAGTATAACTACCTGTTTCAGCTGATATTACAACTTGTGGTTGTAATATGCACCATGCTGCTACTAATGTTTTATTAGTATTCATATAATATTAAAATTCTTGTATAATAGTTGTCATAACAATAAATAATACATTACATAAAATACTATTGATTTACAAAATAATAACTCAGTTTTCAAAACAATAACTCACAACCCATTTAAACAATAACTGCAATAAACTTATAATCTTTAATAATATAATGATAACCCAAACTTCAATAGTGTTCCTATGGATATTCATCGCGATATTTATTGCCACAATAAATGGCCAGGATTATTCAGTATCAGTAACAGTATCAGGGCCAATCATCACTGGCCTACGTCAAAGTTATGCACTGGGAAGTTTGGTACGATTAAACTGCAGCGACTGGATTAGTAAACCAACACCTAATCTAAATTGGTACATTAATAATCGACCAGCATCATCGCAATATCTGCACGATTCTGGTCTAGTAAAGTACCAAGGTAGTCGTCAACGGGAACCATGGCTTCAACTTAGATTTGTGGTTGATGAATATTATTTTAATTCAAAAAGTATCATGCTTAATTGCACGGCTAGTGTACCCAACCGGTTCACAGCATCCACCGAGGTAGAAGCTATACTCGAACGGCCATCGATTAATTCCCCTGACCTTTATGCAAACCCACTATACCATGGTAAATTTTAAATAAAATTTATATTATACCACATACAGTAGATTATTGTATTTCATTGATTTTACAGCTACATCATCAGCATTGAGAGCATTTAATGCAATCACTATGTACTGGCTTATTTATTCATTTGTTATTAAGTTGTATATGTTTTTGTATTGAATTAATGTAATAATGTAATTATGGTGATTTATTTTTGAAATTTTTCAATTATGTTTTGTGTTGTTATTATTGATAAAATTACTGTAAAGTACAGTATTCAACGCCACAATAACTTTGATTTATACTTTTGTATTAAATATCTATATTTGTTAAATTAATATAATATTTTTAAATTTGTAAAAAAATCATGTTTGTTATTATTGTAATACTAATATTTTTTGAGTAAGATGAAGAATATTTGCTCGGTTTTTAAAATAAATGTACAGTATTTACAATGTGACAAATATAACAAAATATTTGTATAAATGTTCAATTATAAATAACAATATTCTAATATAAATAAATAAATATTTTTAATATTAATGGTCTCAAATTCTTACTATAAATAGTTTGGTTCATTTATTATACTGTACTGCAAAAGTGTGTACCTATGTACTTTATATTCTTAATATGTAATTATTTCTCGATTATGCCATCTAGTTACAATAAATATTATTTATAACAGAATTGGCATTATGCAAAATGCTAAAGTATGTTTTGAAAGCTATTGTTTATTCTATAATGGTGTTATATTATACTTACTAAATTCTTATATAGAATTACCTAATATTTCATACTGTAAACAAATGTTAATATCATTGAGTTTATTATATATTTTATAAAGTGTATAAACTATATCAAAAACAAGTGAATTACAAAATAATAAGTTATTATTAATAACACTGTTTGCAAAAACAAGAATTCATAGACAGCTAAAACATTAACCAGAATATTATTTGTTTAATTTTATACAATGTCAATGCAAAACACACTATTATCTCTATGGATGTTCTACATGATATACGGTGCCCTAAATATTACCTCGGTGCATTCAGTGTCAATACTATTAGAGGGGCCGTTTATCACTGGGCTTCGCAATAGTTATTCGCCAGGAAGTGTACTTGAGCTGAACTGTACGGGCAGGGGTAGTGAACCAACTACTAATCTAGAATGGTACATTAATGGACGTCCAGCAGCATACAGGTATCTCTATGTATCATGTCGAGAAAATGACCATGTCGACCACGATGACCATGTTGTCCAAGTTGGATTACAACTCAAATTTGTGGTAGCTGAATATTATTTTAATTTAACAAATATTAAACTGGAGTGCAAGCTCAGTGCCCCGGAGCGTCTATCTGCATCCGCTGAAGTATTAGCTGTACTTAAACGACCATCGTGTGAGTACTACGATCGATTAGGTAAGTTTTAAGATTAATATGATTTAAGTTTAATAAATCTAGGCTACTTCTAATCTATCTATTTCATTTATTGATTTCTTACAGCAACATCATCTAACTTGCCGATATTTAATAAATTTAACTTGTTGCTCTACTCGAACGTATTTGCCTTTATTTATTTTATAATTTGTAAATTTTAATATATTTAATTAATGTTATTATTATTTATAAGATTATTCAACCAACAAAGCAAAGTATTTTTGAGCTTTTATATTTAAATTATATTTTAACTTATATTTAAAAATTTACTAAATCTAATTGACCAGTTTATTTCAAGCTTTATAAAACTAAATTGATAAATGCTTGCTATAATTATGACATATCAATATTTATAAACAATATTATATTTAATTGTTAAAATGCTATGCAGTGAATAAAATTATTTTAATTTTCGATGCCTCTATGTAATTTTCATTTATATGTTTGGGTACATTGTATATTCAATTAAAATATATTTACTTGTTTACCATCATTCATTAACTGTTTGCGCGCAGTGTCGGCAGAGCTACTAATTATTGAGAATGCTTTGTGAATAAATGACAAAATATCAATATGATCTATTTGTCTATATTTTAACTAATTTTATAAAGTATACAAAATAATTAAGCACATTATTAGCACCAAAATACATGTTTAATTATCCCATAAATTATAATCCGCTATTTGGAGTAAATCTATTAAACATACGGGCGATGGAAATGTACCACTATTTGCTGCGAATCAAAAATAAATTAAAAATTTTTAAAATTTAAACTAATTTTCAAATTCTAACATTATGTATTAATTATTTGGATAATTCTACATGTTAAGAGACTGTTTTTATGACTACCTTATGTTTTATTATAGTGATGCTGTGATAGACAATGATAACAATTATTTAAATCTATAAATATATTTACATAGAAATGAAAAAATAAAAATAATATTGAGGATTAATATGTAAATTAAAACAGAAAAATGATTAAATCACATTATAAAATTTGTTATTTAATTGTTAATATATTTTGCCATGGATAAACTTGTTTTAAAGTTTAAAATGCTCTATTGTATCCTCTCTTTACAGTGAATATTATTTAATCAGAATTTCTATTAGTATAACAGTTGTAGGAATTATTGCAACTCTAACATGAATGCCAATTGTATATCCTGCCCATGGTGACTTTATGCCTTACAACCACTATGATTTTAAATCAATTTGTTTAATACATCATGACAGGATTTATAAATAATTCATAACAACAAAAAACCCATTACAAAGTTATAACACATTTTTATAAAAACAGTACTTTAATAAACGATTAAAACATAAATAACAAAATTAAAACTCAATATAATGTCAATTCAAACCACGCCATCAATTCGCTGGATATTCTACCCAATAATAATTGGCATAACTATTACCATGGTCCATTCGGAGGCTATAGCATTTTCCGGCCCTAACATCAATGGCCTTCCGGACATTTACACGCCAGGAATTGTGCTAGATCTAAACTGTACCATCTGGTGCAGTGAGCCAAACGCTACTTTGGAGTGGCTTATTGATGGTGAACCAGCTCCAGATAATTATCTCGGTAAATCTGGCCGTGTAGATAACCATCGTTTTCTTGGCGATCACACTGCCTGGCTTGAACTCAAATTTGTACTAGATGAACATTATTTCAACTCGAGAAATATCAAGCTAAAGTGCATGGCCAATATGGCTCGTGGTACAGGATCGGCTAAAACCATATCAATCCCATTAAAACTGCCATCAAACAACGATGGTTAGTTACAGTTTTATTTTAATATTCTAGATTATTCTGATGTTGGTAACCTAGTTAATTAATTTTTTCCAAAGATTCCAATGTTGGGCACTTATCCAGGTGGAATATATTCCGGAAGATATTTTCGGGATAGAAAAATATTGTATCATCATGATAATTTAAAGTGATCGAAATGTAATCAAACTATAAATATATATATTTATAAGTTATATGGAAAAAGCTTATATTTTTGCTTATTTTAATAATATTTATAATATAAAACCTATAAGAAATTATATTATCCATAATATTAATTAAGAAATTGCATTAATATTAATTTACATAAAAATAACAACATTCTTGTTAGTTTTCACAAGTTTTAAAATTTTACAAAAATATATATTACACAATCAAATAGATTTAATTTGGTAAAATAAATAAAATTACTTTATTTTAGCATCCTCCTTTGTATCCCTTCATTTATAATATATATTTTTAACTAGTATTGAAATTGTAATTCATTGATTCATGTACTGCATCTATGATATAACAGGATATTGTATTGATTTGCTGTATTCTTTTAACATGGTGATGTTAAATCGTAGTACCACATAAATTATTGCTTGGAATAGAACTTCCCTAATATTTTATAACATAATTTGTACCTAATTTGAAAATATTATTTAAAATTATTGATTTACAAAATATTAAATAAGACTAACTCTTAAAAGCTTCGAAACATAAGAAACAATATTATTGTTTATAATAATGTCAATACAAAACACGACCTCATTGTTTATGATATTAAACACAATATTCATTGGCATAAATATTACCATGGTTCATTCAGGATCAATATTAATAGGCGGGCCGTATATCAATGGCCTTATGGACAGTTACACACCGGGAAGTGTTGTAAATGCCAGCTGTTACGCCTGGGGAAGTGAGACCACCATGGTGCTAAATTGGTACATTAATGAACATCCAGCTCCATATGAATACGTCGATGAATTTCGTCCAGCAAATAACAATAGCGCTGTAACACTATTTGAGAATTACATCAGGGTGCAACTCAATTTTGTGGTAGATAAATATTATTTCAATTCAAAAAATATTAAGCTAAAATGCGAGGCCAACGTACATAATCGTACATCATCATTCGAACAGGTATCAGTTCCATTACACATGGAATCTAGATACCTAAACCATGGTAAGTTATAATGATTTTATGTTAAGATAG